AACTTAACCATATTCTTATTTGAATATAATTTTTTTTAATGTGATATTATAAATTTATTTCTTAACCAAAATTAATATTAATCTATTTTGCTATAACATTTTATAAATTATTTTGATTATAATTTTTAATATTATATAGGTCAAGTTGTTCTAAATTTTTTCAAAGATGCGTATAATTATAATTTCATATAATTACATTTTTCTAACAAATGTTACTAATGTAAATTCTATTTTACTCTACAATAACATAACAATTCCGATATAATTTAAACGTAATATCTTTATATTTTTAAAAAATTCAGTTTTTATGAATCCTGTAATAAATTATTTAAGTAATTATTATTTTAAACGATATTACAATCTTATTATTTCAATTGACTACATATATTTCATTTTAATTATAATTTAAATTTCCTCTTCATAACAAATTAAAAATGTATTTATTTCTAATTTTTATCATTAATAATTTTATAATTTATAATTTACTGATAACAAATTTTAAATTACTGATTACTATTTTTAAAAATGTGTTTATCTAAAATTTTGTCTCATTCTACTAAAAATTATTCTACATTTTAAAGTTTTTTATCATTTTTCCTTTAAATCAACCTCCTAATTAGTCTAAACAATAATAAGGTTTATTATAAATTTTAATCAATATTTCATGTTTTATTATACAATTATCTTTTTTTATTTATGCAATTATTCATTTTTTATATACTTGTGTATTTCAATTTACTATTTTTTAAAAACCCTATACCAATAATATATTTTATTTAATAATTACAAAAAATATTTCATCTATTTTGACTGACATTACACAAAATTTTAAACATAATTTACTATTTTTTTAATTCTGCAGTTAAACATAATCTAACAAATTTTAAAATTTAATGTTAAATTACCGGATTACATATAACAACAATTAATCTAATTTTACATCTATTTTTTAACCAAAAATAATTTAAATATTACAATATCAATTTATTTTATATAATATTACAGAATAAATATTTAAGTACTCAAATAAATTATAAAAAAATATATACAAAATTTTTATTTTTCATTAACCTCATGGGATCGATGAAAATGCACAGTCTAGCACTAGCACCTGTATAAAATTTTATAACAAAACAAAACTATTATTTTTCTTTTCCTACAAATAAAACAAAACTTATTTATTTCACAATTTCATTTTTATTTTTGGATTTTTCTAATAACACTGCAGAATCAAAAAATCGTTCAGATAAATTTCACAGCAAGAATACGCAAATTTCTTGTAGCTGGCATTATAACATCCCTTGTTTATTAAAAAAAATAAAAAATATTATCCTTTTAAGTATAGAAATATCAATATAATGTGATTAAAATAAGTGAAAGATAAATAAAATATAAAAAAAAAATCGTGTATGTAAAATTTGGATCACCAAAATTGACAAGATTTAAAATTTTATACATATAAATTTCATTTGTAATAGCATTGAAGACATAATTTTGGAATTATAAATTCATAAATAAAGAAAAGCTAAAAATTTTATATTAACGATTAATTACTAAATATCACACCTGTACTTTAAATCATTATTTAAAATGATTAAATCTTATAAATAACTTTGAATGGAAACTCAATTAACAGTATATTTACAATTTTTTCTAATAAAGTAAATCCTACATAGCAGTTTCTTTCTTATTATTCCTTGCGAGTATGATCTTAGAACATATCAATCCCCTTTTCATCACTTCATTACCTAAAAAAGTTTGTATGGGTGAACATTCCTCGCCCTACGAGAATTCTTATTTTATAAAATAATAAATAATAATGCATAAATATTTTCTAACACAATATGTAATAGAATAACAATGTTCCATACTTAACAAATTTAACCAGACAAATTATTCATATACATCTTTCATCATTACTCATACGTATTCCATTTCTTATTTAATTAACCCAATTAAATTCAACACCACAATTTATACTATTTTACTTATTCATACAATTATAATTAACAATTATTTCTTTAAAGGCTGGTTTGGGGTGGGGCTTCAGACCCACTAATCGGGATAAGAGTGTTGGTTTTTATCACCTCTGTTTGGTGTTGGTGGGATATGAGATACGAAAGGAATCTATGGTTAGGCTTCCCTAAAAGCAGCGGCAAGGCTTTGGTTTCTTGGCTCAAGAGATTCTTATTCCCTTAGTAGTCTGACTGCTCTTTCTCTCAAGCGAAGTGTTATTCATGAATATTACTTCACATTTAACCAAATATCATTATCCAATCTATATCTTCATGTCACTTTATCTATCTCAAGTCTGAACATCTCATTAATTAACAGTAATCTAGGTACTCTTGGGTCCCTAAATCGTTGTCAACGCACTCTCCTTAGTTATGAAGGACTTACGTAGCATAGATAGTCAATGGTCAGCTAAACCACACATGAATACAACGTGTGCGTTCACAGCCTTCCAAGCAAAGGTATAGTTAGGAGTTCAGTTAAAAAATGAGTGTGAGGCTTGTAAATGCATCTCACTTTTACATCGTGTACACATCAATGAATCACATTTACCACTCTCATTTCCACTATATTTTCATAATCAACTCAAGACCCTATACCCCCAGTCTATCCCTAAACTATCCATACAATATCTCAACAATTGCACATCAAGTTATACTATTCTAATACATATGTTGCAAACACATTAATCGATGCACTATAAAACATGTGTTATAATCTTACCCGTCGGTGTATTATAACGTATCTATCATAATAGCACCAATCAGTGTATTTATAACACGCGTACTAGTGTCCCTTTCTCTTTTCTCCACACATATTTATCACCTTTCAATTTTCACAATTCTCCTTTCTCTCATAATCAATTGTATACTTTCTCAGAGATTATCAAACATTCATACTTATTCAAACTTAACCTAACTTACACATATAGGATACAATACCTTTTATATCACTCTCACACAACAACAAACTTATTAATTATGTATATATAATCACAAGGCAGACACGTATCATCACACAATTTCATACAATATGCCAAGGGTCGGACACCCTCGAACTCAGCCCAAATCCTGCAATCTAGAATATACTATCGGAGATCACATTCTCTCAGTCTTAATAGAATCTTCTAGCCTAAAGTGCAACATATTTCACATGTTCACTATTCAACACATACATTATATAAAAGAAAATAGTAACTTATCCATAAAATTGTTTAACTTATTCTTACTCATGACTATTTATGATAAACTACGTCTTAAATGATTTTAAACATATCAAAAACCTCTTTTATACCAAAAATTCATTTCAAACTTATTTAGTTTCAAGAAAAATTTATGGATTTACTTTTTAAAATAAGATAACCCTCTTTTCTAAATATTTATAAACATATTTAGGTAGAACCTAGGGTTTAGGAGTAACTCTCCTTACCTGGAAATGGATCTTAAGAACTAAGTTCTTTGTGTACTCTAAAGAGAAACTTCACGTCTCGACCAAAAGTACTACCTAAGGACTAGATTTCTTCCTAACATCACAAGGTAGATTTCTATTGTGAAAAAGAGAAAAGAGAAATAAAAACGAGATTCAAGGGATGAGCTCTGGAAACTTACTAAGATTTAAGTAGAATGTACGTTTGAGCTCAGAATCTGAGGGAGATCCAGACTTATTTGAGGTTTTCTCTGGGAAAGGAGAGGAAAAGAACGAAGAGGATGGAGAGAGAAAGATGACTTGGTTGAAATTAAAGGTTTTAGGATGAAAGTTCTTTAAATATTTCTCAAACTCGCGACTTTCTCGCTATAATGAGCAACTCTTGCTACAAAGAAAAAATTAGAAAAATTTCTTCTTTTGTTATCTGTTATTCTAGCTACAGTGAGAGGGTTCTAAAGAGCCTGATTCTAGATTACTTGTCTCACTACAGCGAGATATCTTGTAGTTCACATCAATTAAATATTCCTAATTTCAAATAACATGCACAAACAACTAAAATAAATTATAATAATAATAAATAACAAAATGAGAGTATTACAAGCGTTAATGAAGGGAGGGAAAGAGGAGGGAGAAGAAAAAGCCCTTCGCAGCACCTGTTTCGATGATGCCACGTGTCTAGACCTGAGTTAGTGTCGCAACAACCATCTGATAGCTCAGTCGATATGCACGTGTCCAATTTTCTCTCTAGCCATTGATTTCAAATTACTATCGTCACGGTTGGGACAATACAACTAGTTATATGACATGTGGCAACTATCGCATTTATTAGGCTGATATTATTTTATTTTTATTTTTTTTTCTATTTTTATTTTATTAGTTAAATTTTAATATTTCATGTGTCAAGGAATGAACTAGTCTCTAACAATGAAGAACGATAGTCTATTAAAAAAAATTTATTAAACATACAAGTGTGATACTAATACTGACCAAAAATTGTACCAAGCTAAAAATTTATTTTAAAAAAGCTTTTACATAAATTATTTTAAAAATAACATTATTTAAATAAATTTGTCACATATTAGCTCTCCTAATTTAACCTGAATTCGCTTGTCAAATACGTATTTCTTCCCTAAAAATAGAAACTTTAAGGGACCAACACGTGTTGGTGTCTATTGTAATGAATTTGACAATTCCCCGTAGCCTTTTTTCCTTTTTGTCTTTTCAACTAATTGAAATAGGAATTTTCTTTTCCTCTTTACCAAAATTAATTAAAACAGGAATATAATTATTACTATTATTATGTCACGCTTCCTCTTTTACTCCTTCAAAAAGTCATAATAATTTCTTATTAAAGATTAAATAAGACATAACGCAAAATAATACCAGACGGATATTTTCTGTTGTTTATGGTGGATATTTAAATTACATTTAAATAATAACAAATATATATTGTTTTAATATTATTAATTATAATTTTTACATTAAATTTATATTTATCACCAGTGCAACTGAGCACATTTTCCATTTGGTATTTTCCTTTTAGGCGCTTTCATAACAGCCAATAGCATTAAGTTATCCAGAAGAACAAAACTTCAATCACACTATCATCAAGAAACAAAATGGAGGACGGAACAAGCTTCTCCTCATCCAACATTGATCCAAGGAGCGGTTTCCACCATGCTTCCAGAACCTTCCACAGCCTTAGACCCCCACTCCACCTCCCTCCTCCAAACGCCACCGTTTCCGCCGCAGCATACACCATCTCCCTCCGCCGCAACTCGCCCTGGCCGGACTCAGTCACCGCCCTCATCGACTCAGCCACCGGACACCGCCTCTCCTACGCTGAGTTCATCCACCACGTCGAAACCCTAGCTTCCAACCTCACCTCCATCCTCAAACTCTCCAAAGGCGACACTGCCTTAGTTCTCTCCCACAACCTCATGCAGGTTCCGATCCTCTGCTTAGCACTCCTCTCCATTGGCGTAATAGTCTCTCCAGCGAACCCACTCTCCACGCGCTCCGACCTCACGCGCGTCTTCCACCTCAGCAAACCGGTAATTATCTTCGCCGCCACTTCAGTCGCAGCCAAGACTCACGAGCTTCCGAATCTCCGACTCGGAACCGTCTTCCTCGACTCACCCGAGTTTGACTCGCTAATGAGGACGAGGAAAACGAGTGGACTCGAAGCTCGCGTAAAAGTGAGTCAATCTGACGTGGCAGCGATTCTGTACTCGTCTGGGACCACTGGAAATGTGAAGGGAGTAATGCTGACGCACCGTAATTTAACGGCGTTAGCCGTGGGATACGATGCCGTTCGAGAGGAGCGAAAGGAGCCACCGGTGTTCCTCTATACGATGCCCTTTTTCCACGTGTACGGATTCACGTTCAGCTTGAGGGCTATGGTTCTGTCGGAGACGGTGGTGATCATGGAGAGGTTTCGTTTTAGGGAGATGCTGAGGGCGGTGGAGAGGTTCCGAGTGACGAATATCGCGATGGTGCCGCCGCTAGTGGTGGCTTTGACGAAGGACGGCGTAACCGACGGGTACGATTTAACGTCATTGGTAGGAATCGCATGCGGCGCGGCTCCATTGGGAAAGGAAACTGCTGAGGCTTTCAAATCGAAGTTTCCCGGAGTGGTGATCATCCAGGTTTGCCTTCGTAAATTAAAATTATATAGTGAAAAGAATTAGTTATATACAATATCAGTGGACCTTTTTTCAGAGTTATTCAAATAGTATAAAAGTCTGATTCATAGCACTAACAATTTTCTCCATAGATAAATAAATAGGAACCAAAGCTATTGTAGTATTACATACATAAAATGTCAATTTTCACTGTTCTCTAAAAAGATGTAATGATATAGGGATACGGTTTAACTGAGTCAACTGCTGGGGTTGCCCGAAGCACCAACGAGGAGATTGACCGGGTGGGAACAACAGGTAGACTATCAGCAGATGTAGAAGCCAAAATTGTGAACCCAAACACAGGAGAAGCCATGCTTCCTGGTCAACAAGGGGAACTCTGGATCAGAGGACCTACCATTATGAAAGGTAATTAATTAACTAATTATTTTTTAAACTGTTTTTAAGGATCTAAAAAATGACACTAATGTCCCACATTTATTGTGGTGATAGAGCAGGGTATGCTGGTGACCCAGAAGCAACTTCAGCAACTTTGGTGGACGGGTGGTTAAGGACAGGGGACCTCTGTTTCTTCGATGATGAGGGTTTCTTGTACGTTGTAGACAGGTTAAAAGAGTTAATCAAATACAAGGGCTACCAGGTAACATCTCCTTATTATTTATTTGTAACATATTTGTGTGTCCCAGTAGCTTGCACCATACTTAGCTTTCAAAATAATATCACTGTACATTGCAGGTTGCTCCCGCAGAACTAGAACAGTTACTCCACTCTCACCCAGAGATCAAGGATGCCGCAGTTATTCCGTAAGAATATTCTTCTTCCTTAAAACTTTGTAATCATTTCTTCCAGTTTTTTAGTGTTTAATGACGAATATTTAAACAAAATATTTTTAAAAATCATTTTTTATTTAATTACATTATTTTTTATATTGGATATGTTATTTTACATTTCTATTAAATATTTTTACAAATATGAAAGCAAAATGACACTAATTCTTCTTAAAACTCAAATAATAAACATTAAAAATATGCATGCCCAATTTTTAAAATATGCTTATGTAAATATATTTTTGTTTTAAAAATGTTTTTAACTGGATATTTATTTGGTAATCATAATGGCACTCAATTTACCCTAACCATATATCTGAGGGTCAATAATCAACATACGGCCGACATCAGATTCAGCCCAACAATTTTTTAATTTATATACGCTTACATCATAGTTTTATTTTATATATATTACTCTCTTTTTTATGCCTCACATTATTGACTTATATCACATCTTTTATTTTTCCTTATATATATGCCTGTATGTAACAGCCTTTTTTCATTGTATTATTTTAACTTATGGGGCATTTTAGCTGTTTAAGGTAGATTGTCTAATATTTCATATTTTTTTAGTTATTTAGTTGAAATTATAAAAAAAAATAGAAACTAAAAATAATATAAATTTAGCTGTTTTTAAAATAAGTCATTTTTAATATTTTTTTAAAATTATAAATATATTTTTAAAAATAAATTCTTTTTATAATATATGAGACTTAAAATCTTAAGACAAAATAAACTAACTTAACAAATTAATCCAGAGAAACAAATCTCATAATCATCCTCTCTAAGGAGAGAAATTATAAAGAGAAGGGAAGAGAATAACTAACAAACTTCATCTAATTAATTACACCATCTAACTCAAGTTTGTACACAAGATTTTTTAAAAGTTACATCTAATATTTTTAAAAAATTATAACTATCTTTTAAAAATAAACAAATTCTTTTATAGTTGCAACAATTAAACAAAAAATATCTTATACTTTTTATATATTTTCTAAAAAATTTATCCTTCTTCATAAAATTTATACTTTTTAACTAGAGAAGGTGTGAAAAGTATTGGTCGATTCATCTAAATATTATTTTTAATCTTTAATCTCTTCTTTGTAGTAAAATATATAGAATGTAGCTACGAGTTATTAAAATCCTTATTTCTTGTCTTGTTAAAATTTTCAATTTACATTAAGGATGATAATGGATAAAGTACCCGATGAGTATCTGTAAAATTTATCTACAATGGGTAAAGTATTTACTCGCTATATGGATATGGGTATAGGTATCTATGGATATGGGTATAGGTATCTAAGTACTCACTTCGCCCTATACCCGCATATATATATATATATATATATATATATATATATATATATATATATATATATATATATATTTGATAAAACTTACAATATGGTGATACCAAAGTTCTTGTAGGCTATCTCAAGGAAACATCAAGTTTACCAAGGAAGGATTTCTATGAGAGAGTTTTTCTATTGGGTATTTTTGCTCGTGTCTTCAAATGAAGCAGAGCTTACAATTTATAGGAGAAGATTTTACTATTTTCTTATGCTGCTAAATTATTGTTCTTTTGTCTTCTTTCTTCTTTTTCTTTATGTCGAGTCTTCTTTCTTCTTTTTTCTTTATGTCGACTCTATCTTTAAATAATTGTCCTTTGAATTTTGTCTTCTTTCTTCTTTTGTTTTCTTCTTTTTCTTTATGTCGAGTCTGTCTCTAAATAATTGTCCTTTGGTCTTTGTCTTCTTTCTTCTTTTGTTTTCTTCTTACTATAGAGAGATTCCATAGCAATCATCTTCATTGTCGAAGTAGCCATAGTCATCATCTTCAACTGGACTAAGACTTCTCCTGTCTTTTTCAGAGGCTATACTGGTCACTTCTGGAGATATGGTCTCGATTATTTTCTTGAATTCATCTTCTGAACCGGCCGCACTCAGACTGGGTAGGAACCTTGCTTTTTGCTGAAGAAATTCTTGATTTTATTTTTCTTTCAGAGTTTCTTGAGTCAATTTGGGACTTTGAACATTATTTTGTATCCACTGATTAATTTTTGTGGTTTCTAAAAGATTAAGATCAAAATTAATCCACCATTTTACTTTTATGGTTCGGATTAATAATTGAACTGAAGAATCATATTCCAACTTTGCTGAATCATATTGCCACATCATAATCCAAGAAATTCCTTTGGATGCAATAAAAGAAATAAATTTATATGGTTCTGAAATTTTTACTTTTTCTGAGAAGAGCTGAAAGGCTTTTGGTGCTTTTTCTGGGAGTATTTCTTGAACTGGTCCAAAATTATGGAACCAAGCAGAAAACCATTTTGGAAAGTGTAATGAAATTCCCTTCCGAAACCAGATGAACCAGGAATGGGTATCTGGCCTTAAGAAAAGAAACTTTTCTCAGGCTCTGATATAATCAAAATAATTATATTGTATTGGTTGATAATTTATGGTAAATCTGCGATAATAATACAAATGTTGTCCCCAATCTTTTGGAGTCAATATTTGACAGATCTTGAATTTTGAAAAGATTATTTCTTGTTGTTCATTCTTTTTGTGAGTTAGTTCTATGGATTTTGAGTCAATAAGAATTAACTCATAGAACTCCCTTTTTTGTTCAGAAGAAGTTGGAACCACGTGACAATTTGGTGGGAATACTCTTTTGGCTATTTCTGTTCGATTTAATTTAAACCATTCTGGTTCTATCTCCATTATAGGTAATCCATATGGTTTTTCATAATATTTTGGGATTTTGTCAGTTTTTTCTATGGGTCTTTGATATATTTGATCGGCCCATTGAGGAAGTTTTCTGGTCTGATTTGAGGATGGTTGATTTTGTATGGTTTGAGTAGGTTTGGTTAAGACAGTAAATTTATTTGGTGATGGAGACTGAGTAGGTTTTACTATAGTTTGTAGAACTTGTAAACTGGTCATTGGTTTTTTCCCTTTGTCTCTGACTGGGGTTTTTGGTAACTCTGGTTCAACTTTCTTTGGTATAGCGTAATCTGAGCTATTCATTTTTGACATTTTTCCTGTAGAAATTCTCTTGTCAAATAATCTGGTAAAAAGTTCTTTTCTCCTTTGATATGTTGTATTTCAAAATCAAAGTTAGATAATAATGCTTGCCATCTGGCAAAAATATGCTTAGAAACAAGATTTTGGACATCTTTTTGTAATACAGATGGTGCAGCTTTGCAATCCGTTCTTACCAAAAAAAATTTGTTAAATAAATCATCCTAAAATTTTTGAATGCATAAAACAATGCTCAAAATTTCTTTTTTTACAGTAGAATATTTTTGTTGTGCAGGATGCCATATTCCTGAATAATATCTTATAACCTGTTCTATACTGGATTCTGGTAATTTTTGTTTAAGAATCCCTCCATATCTTAATTCTGATGCATCTGTTTCTACGATCAAAAAGGCTAAAGGATCTGGTATCCCTAAACAAGAAAGACTTTTAACTAATAATTTTACCTGTTGAACTACTTTTGTCATCTCTTCATCGCATGGCTGAGGATTTTTCCTAAGTCTTTTGTATAGAGGGGCACATATTGTTCTAATATTTGGTAAAAAGTCTGCTACATAATTTAAACATCCTAAAAATCGTTGTAATTGTGTTTTGTCTTTTAACTGGTCTGGAAATTTATCTGCAAATTCTATAGACCTTTGTATTGGTGTTATTGTCCCTTGATAAATATTAAACCCTAAAAACCTAATTTTATCTTGAAAATTTTTTATTTTCTTGGCTGAAACACAATCCATTTTGTTTAATTAATTCTATAAATTTATTCAAATGTTGTATGTGTTGATTAATTCCTTTTGAAAAAATTAGTACAACATCCAGATATACTATTGAAAAATCCATATAAGGATAAAATATATTATTCATAATTTCTTGAAATTCACTGGGAGCAGTTTTTAAACCCTGTGGCATTACGTTCCACTCATAATGGCCAAAGGGAACTACAAAAGTCGTTTTATATCTATCTTGTTCTGTTACAGATATTTGATAATAACCTGATTTCATATCAAATTTTGAAAATATATTAGCATTAATTAATCTTTTGATTAAATCTTGTTTATTAGGTATAGGATACCTAATCCATTTTAATACTTTATTGAGAGGTTTATAATTTATTACCAGTCTTGGTGCTCCTCTTTCTTGTTCCGAAGCTTTATTTACATAAAACCCCGTGCAACTCCAGGGAGACTTTGAAGGCCTAATTAATCCTTTTTCTAAATATTCTTGTAATTCTTGTTTGCAGAATTCTAATTGTTCTTTATTCATTTGTATTGGTCTAGCTTTTGTGGGTATATTTGTTTCATCAAAACCTTCTTCGTATGGTAATTCTACCCTATGTCTTTTTCTATGATGAAAGGCTATAGGATTTAAACTACATATTTCTTTTATAATTTTCTTTTCTAAATCTTGTATAATTTTATTAATTTTTTCACTTTTTAATTGTTCTTCAATTTTTTTATATTCTATTTCTTTATTTATAAACTTAATCTGTTTTTGCTTTCTTTCTATTTGATTCAATCTAATTATTGATGCTTCTTGGACTAGATTTAATTCTCTAATCTTTGGTGGTTGTAAAAATTCAAATTTGATTTGTCTATCTGGTATTACTTTACTAGTAATTCCTGTATTGTTTATTTCACATGGATAAAGTAGAGTTAAGAAAGGAGTTCCTAAAATTACTTTATTTCCTATGTTTTTTACTAATATAAAAGAGGTAGTAAAACATATCTTATTTTTACATATTTTTCCTTTTGAAAGTTTATAATTTATATGTAATTTATTTCCTCCAGCAGCTGATAACTGTTCTGTGATTTTTTCATAATATTTTGTAGGCATTACCCCCTTTTGTATACAATTTACATCTGCACCTGAGTCTATTAATGCTATCAAATTAAATTTTTCTTGTTCTATAATTAATGTAATTTCACACCACCATTTATG